TTATAATTCAAAATTATTAAACACATGTAATATAGAATAGTGCTTATTATAAAAAAAACTATTTAACTCCATATATATAAATGTAGAAGTTTATTAATAATATAAAAATGAGGAAGCTATATTTGAGCATATTTTATTAGAATTATTATGGTAGAAGTGCATAAAACATTATAATCATATACTATATTGTAACCATTATTTTATAAGGCTAAAAATTAAAACTTGAAACATAAAATAATACCATTAAACATATTATACTGCACCTAGATATGGCATAAAAAGGAAAATATATATAGTAATATATTATAAAATATTTTTTAGGTTTGAAGAATATTAATGACAAGCTTAATATCTATTGCTAATAATTTAATAGATATATAATATATTATATAATATGTTTTAAAGTGTAAACTTATGGTATATTTTTTATTGGTATTTAATATTTTTATAATTTTTTATAATTTGTTAATTTTACTCATTGAAACTCTCTTAAATATAAAATGTACTTATACCATTAAAATTACTCTTATAATATTTTACTGTGGAATAATTATGTAGTAAATTTAATGTATAAGATTTATTAGATTATCTGGACTAATAATTTTTGTGTATAGAACATTACTTAAGATATTACGTCAATATTATTTTATTAGGTGATATTTATAATTCTTTTAACAGTGGAAAATTGTGTATTAAATATATATAATTATTAAAATTATATCCTATATTTATTATATAATAATAATTTGCCTAATATATGTTACATATATTAATATTTCAGATCAATTTAGTATACATTAAATATCATTACCCCTGTATATATTCACAGGAAAATACATTAAAACATGTCATCACCGTTATATGTTTTCCGTAGGGCATCTGTTTTTTCTTATTTTACAATAATAATTTATTTTATTCATTATTTAACTCATTGCTAAATTCATTCTATTAATTATATCTATTTGTACAATAGGTCTTTACTATTTTTATATTTAATTTGGATGTTCTTTATATACTTTCCATCTACAAATATTGTATAGCTCTTATCGCTAAAAAAATAATTTAAAAGCTACAATAAACCATATATTTGCGTTAATATATATTTCTATATAACATCTGATATTCTTTATTGATGTGATATATATCTATGAACTTCTCATCACATACTGAGTAAAAATGTATATTATTTTTAATAAAATGTTTTGAGCATTAATTTTGGAAATATAATAAAATGTTATATAATAAAAAATGGAATGGATTATACTTTTGTTTAAATAATATATCAAGAAGTAAAAAAATTTTAATTTATAAATTTATTCCCTTGTTGTACGAAATACAATTTATGTCATGATAATTTAAGATCAAAATCTATCAAGTCTGTTATTATAATAGATTTATATTCTTAAAAAATAAATATTATATAATAAAATTATATGTTATTATATTACATATATAATATGCACAAAATATTGCATTTAGCAAACGAATACTGCATTCAACATAAAAATTTTATTATAATAAATATTATATAACATATGAATCTAAATTGAATATTTTATAAAAAAGTTATAATTTTGAATTATCATAGAGTTTATATAATCAAGAATAATTTCTTTATGATTGAACTCATAATTTTTAATTATTTTTTTATACACTTAATAATGAATATGTGTTTCTTAAAAGTATATCATATTCATAAAATATTATGCAGCTACTGCACTAAATTATTATTAGTTAAAAGGTTACACACTTATTGCGTATATACTTGGTATATACATTTATGATTTTAATGAAAAATGAGTATTAACTAAAATACTTTTATTTTTATTGTAAAATCGAATAGGAATAATAATTTTCATGTTTCTATGCACATTTTTTTACATAATAATATTTATATTGTGTGTATTATTATAATGTACTTTCAAAAAGTTCATTTTGACGTATTTTGAAAGTGTAATTATAATTGTTATAATAATAACACAAGAAAAAATAAAATACAATTATATTGTAAATTAGCGAATATGGAAAAAAATTTATAATTTTCAAAAATTTATATTCGGTTTTGATATTAGGCTATTATAAATTAAACTTTTATATTATTTTAAATATATTTTAATTAATTTCAATTATAAAAAGATTATAATTTAATTATATAAAGCGATATTTTTAGTATACTACCTGTTTTTATATATATATTTTAATTAAAAATAAAATATAGCATGTTTTATGAATATATAATAACATCAATTATTCTCAATATATATACAATAAAGATAACTATATATATATAATCCATGAAAACAATTAATTTCATAGTATCATATACCACGATTAAATAAATAATAATATAAAATTATTCTTTTCTTTTTGTGTCTAAAACAATATGTTTAACAATAAAATTAAGAAAAAAAAAAATTTTCTTAATGTATATATGTTTTTTGCAAAGTATATTAAAATTGCAATATCTTAATTATTAAATATTAGAGTATATAAATATGTATTAACCAAAAACAATAGTTTTTATAGATTTCACTTAAAGACGAGTCACTGAAATCCTTAAATGTTAAAAATTAAAACATAGAAATTTAAATTTAAATGATAACACTAAATGATTAGTAGTGCACTAGAATTATAAACATTTTGTAAATGTATGCATTCATATGAAATTAATGAAATATATAAATGAGAAAAGTATATAAATATTCTAACATAATGTTATTTATTGCACTTATATATGTTCATTTTAATTTCTTATAGGGAATAATTATTTTATTGTAATAGTGAAATACATATTAAAAAAGTACAAAAAATTTGCTTATTAATTTTTATTATTATACAATCTCTTCTTTATAAAACAATTATTCATGCTATGTAATCATGTAAAATTCGTTATCATTAAAACTCAAGAGAAACTTCATAATATATCAGACCATAATATTTATAAAATAATTGTAAAAAGTTTAAAAGTTTTTTTTTAAATTATATATTTTAAGTGTTTATACTTATGATGGCTGTATAATATTTTTCAGATATTTTTAACACAAATGTATATAATAAAAGAGTAAAAATTATTTTTGATAAATCAAATATATATAACATGTCAGATATAATTGAAAATGTAAATAACAGTGTAATTTTGTACATTTATTTATAATTAAAATTTTTATGTTAATTATAAATATTGTAATTTATAATAATCTAGAAAGAAATCTTATAATATAAATTTAATTTAATTTTTTCTACAATTTGTATCCTTCATCTTTTAGTTTAATTTTAAGGGTATATTCCCCCAAAGCAAATGTGATTTTAATTGTTTAGTTTTTAACAATCATAGAGGACATTTTTTTATTCTCTTTTCACAGTTTTATAATGATTATTGGAATAATATAAATATTAAGTGGAGTTACGTTATCTTTAATGGGATGTATAAGACCTAATGCTATTATTTAATATATATGGAGCATAAACAACATAATAAAAACTTTTATTTAGGAGAAAGTTTTAAATACTTCTACTACAAATTAAAAGATCTAGTGAAAATTTATACAGGAAATTGTTTTACAGCAGGAAAATGTTATGAACAAATTAGAAATATAATAAAAACTAACATTATCATGCCTATTTCTGATATATGTCTAAATCATGTTAGTAATCATATATACCTTGATGAAGATGCATTTATTAAATTTCAAAATATGGAGAAATTATATAATATTATTTATAAATTTAACAGTAATAGAAATTACTATTTAGAGAGTTATAATATAGGTTAATACGCAGATTATTTATAAAAATGTAGAGCCTGTAATTATAATAAAAGTTTTAGTAAAGAATTAAATAAATCTGAAGAGAAATACTATGCATATATTCAGAGAATATGTGGTTGTACTTCTGCATAGAAACTCTTACATAGTTCCCTCAAAGCAGAATAGGTGCACATAAAAGTACAGATACAAGTAAAGACACAGATACAGATAAAAAAAAAAATCCAGTGGTGCATGCACCTATACGTATAGGTACAGATACAAGTACAGTCGTAAGTGTTTGTACCGTCATAATTTTGATAATCATATTTATTCTGTATAAGGTATAAATAAACTTGATATATTTAATTTATATTAAATTCCAATTCTAATACACATTAATTTAATATATAAAATCAAGTGAATTACATAATTTTTAAAAATAGTATATTTATTTTTTATTTTCAGTATACAAAATTGAGTTTATTTTTTATGCAAAGGGAAAAGTAGTTAAAAGGCCTTTTAATAAGAATACTAAATATCATCAGGACTTAAATAATTTATTTGATACCACGTACAATAACTTAAATAATAATAATTTTCGAATAGCATATAGCTCAGAGGACTAATCATAGTGTGAATATAATTTTTAAGTGAATTAAGTTAGCTTCCTATTAAAAAATTTAATTATATGTATTCCTTGTGTAAAAAAGAGAAAAAAATAATTGTGCGAGCAAAATACATTCAATATGATTCTAAATATATGAAAATCTTTTCCTACATTTTTTGTAATTTAAGGAAATATATATAATATAAGCCTTGTAATATTGTCCCTTTTTAAAAATAATGGTACCCATTTTCAAAATATAGAATAAGTAACAATCCATAAATATACACAGTTAAATGTAAACTATTATTATTAAGTATTTAAAAATTAATATATTCAAATTCTATTCATTATATATGTGCATGATATTTTATTTGTGTTAAGCAGCAATTATTCATTTCAGCTGGTTATAACAGCGAGTGAAATAATGTATTAATTTAAAAGACTGAATACATATATGGATTTATAATATACAGTGTAATATATCCTAGAAAAACATATGAAACCTATACATGAAAAAATCGTTATGATATATATTTAAATTATGAAGCAATCATCTTACAAGAAGAACGCAATATTATTAAATAAAAAAGAAATCCTTCTATAAATGTGTTGTATTTCATAAATAAATATATTAAAGTATTATATCCTTATATATATACTATAACCGAATAAATTTATAATGCGAATTCATATGGAAAAGTGCTTTCTTACTTTATTCATTTGATAGGTATATAGAAAAAAAAAAATTATTATAGAAATAAATTCAGAATATTTTAACATGTTTTGTTAATTCTATTAAATATGCTTGCAATATTCCAAGAAATGAATATCATTATATAATTTATTGTATGATAACATTATTATCACAATTAATATATATATAATTAAACAATTACATTATTGATAAAGATATGTATTAGAGGCAGTTAATTATCGTATGTAAAAATTTCTGATAATTTTTTTGTGTATTATTATAAAATATATAAAAAGTCCAATATATTAAAATATAATTTAATCTAATATAGAATAAATATATTTAAAATAATACATAAGAGGAAATTTTCTATAGAAAATTATTGTCTTATATATATATTTTTTCTACTACGTTTAAGTATTTTTATTTAATTTTTTTTATTAGTACACTACATTATCAATTTTTATGATAATTAATATAGTGTTGGACAATAAATTTCCGTTTAAAGGCATTATATTTTTCCCTTTGCTTGATCTTATTTATATACTACGAAGTAAATTTAATTCTATTTTATGTAATTTTAGTATGTTCACATGTTATAATATATTTATTTATTCATTCATATAAAACTGTATATCAATTATTAATGATACGTGCACATATCTTGAAAGATGTATAATTAATATTAATCCATTTATTATATTATATATAGAAAACAAAAATTAAAATAGCATATTTATTGCAAAAGAGAATTATATCAAACTTTTTTACATATATTAATTATTATTTTTTAAATGATAACATATATATTTTTTTATTATAAAAATATTAACATATTTTAATTTGTGTAATATATGTAAAATGTCCTATTTATATTTTATAATATACCTAACAAAATTTTAAGTTATTTTTTAATTTTTAAGGTAAATCATTTTTATTATAAAATGTGATACTTCCAGTATGTTTTATTAAATATTTATCGAAATTATATAACACTAAATTAGTAATAGATTAATAGTATATTTACATTGTTTATGACTATACAATTAGTATGAATCATTTAGAAACTTTATGAAGAAAATACTATTTAAAAGTTATTCTTATTATTACAGGAGTAAACAGAAATATATTTATATTCATACTTTTATACCTCATTATTCATTTTTTGAAATAATATTTTAGATATGTTTTTACTTTTCTACATTTATCCTTATTATTAATAAATCAAAAGCTTAAGTTTAACTTGTGTGTATAAATAAAAACAAAGAGTATATATATATTTAATTTTTTCTATATAATTATATAATGTCCATTTATCATGATAAAAATAAAAAACTAATTCATATATGAGCAAATTTTATATTATTTAATTAAGAATAAAAATGTTTAATGAATAATAACATCATATGATAAAATAAAAAAATTGCATTATTAGAAAATATTATATATTATAATAAAAAAAACGTATGTTAATTACTAGAATGTATAACAACTATATATGTCTATTATTAATAACGAAATATTCTAAAGCTAAAGCACAAATTGTGATCCCATTTTATTTTTCGCAAATTCAAACACACTAATATATTTTGTTTAAATTATAGAAATAATAATATTTTAATAAAATAATATTAATATAAAAGTATATCAATAAATAAAAAGAAAAATTATATTTTTATAATCCATTATAAATTATGTATTTTAAATTGTTTTACCTTAAAAATGTTATTAATGGAATTATTCTGTTATTATTTTAATTTTAATATTTACATTAATAAGTATATAAATAAGTGAAACATCATATTTGTAAAAAATATATCATAAAATGTAAATAATTTAGTATGCTAGTTTTAATATTTCATTAATATTGCTATGTAAACTATAATATATAATATTCTTTAAAAACATTTTTTTATCGCAGAGTGAATTTCTATTAATATATATATTTTAAAATTATATGCATCATAAACTTGTTTTAATATTAATTTTAATTATACATATATATAGTATATAGATTCCTGGAATTTTCCCCTAAATCGCGATCATTTATATTCACAAATTTTTATAATTTTATGTTCCAGTTTAATGAGGTATAAAAACTCTTAAATAATAATCTATTTATTCCAGAATTTTACGATTTCTACATTAGTTTATATGAACACTATAACAATTATTATAAACAAAAAAATAAAATAATTTATATATATATATAATAAAAATAATGACACATGTAAATTTTATGTCCTTTTTAATACTTAGAGTAATAGTAAAATTATGAAATTTTTATTTAATAAGATACCGTTAAACTTGTATTATAAGTGAAAATATTATGCTTTTGCAAATAGATTAAATTTTTATGCTTTTTAAAGTATGCAGTCAAATAAATAATTAAACATATTATATGAAGTAACTTATTTGTAGTATAGTTTAGTTTCATACAAATTAATTATAAAGAGTATCAGTGGTACATTTACCTGAATTCTATAAATACTAAATAGGGGTACACAAATATTTCTTATATAATGCTTCATTATTTGTAAAAATATATATTATTATGCATATAAATTTGAATATTTACTTTTAGATAACCTATATAAAAATATAATAAAATCTGCAATGGAAGGAGAGGCTGTACCTTTTAAAAATTATGACACAAACTACATCAAGTATTTTCATATATATCTGTATATAAATAACATGAAAATTACTTCAATATAACACAATTTTTGTAATATTATTATTTTTCTTTTTAGTATGGATTTATAAAAGATTTTTTTAAATATGAAGAAATTATGGATCAGTGCATAGAAATCGCAGATTCTCAACGCATTGATAGGTGTGATGAATTGACAATAGAAAATTTTGATAAATTTGTGTTTGACGTTAAGAGCAAATGCCCCCAAGTCATTTTATATTTACAAAAAATATATGAAAATAATAATATGTCTAGTGTAGGATGCAAATTCTTGTATTATTGGGTATATAACTATCTTCTACAGAAAAAGCAAATTAATAAAATCAGAACGATTTATCTTACTTTTTTGAGTACATATAGTGTGACTTATTCAAATCACAATTTAACTGATGCTCGTAAGATATCTATTAAAGAAGTAGATTTACCAAAAGTTACAGCATTATATGATATGTATAAAAATCTTAAAACTATCAAGCAAAATTGTAAACCAAATAAAAGCGAAGAATATTGTAGTTTAGTAAAGGAAATTATTAATCAATATAATATGCAGTTGCAAAAAGAAGATATTGAAATTAGTGCAACACACGTATTACCCCATTATCACAGCAATATTAAAGCTCCTATTTTAACAACAATTACAGTAATATTAATGATAACGTTTTTTATATTTATTGCTAATAAGGTAAATTAAGATACAGTTTATATACATCTATGCTATGATGCAATTTTTCTATATAAATAAATTAATTTCATTATCAATGCATATATTTTTATTATTATGAATTAGATCTCTCCACATGTACCATTTTTGCACCATGGAATAAAGAGAATAAAAAATAAATTAAAAAATACAGTTATAGAATGGAATATGTTACAATCACAAGGTTTACGCAACAGTTTTTTAAACACTGACAGATACAGTGTATTTATATAATTGCGCTTAATTTTTCATTAAATATATAATTCGACGAATATATTTCTCGTAAATAATAATTTAAGAAATTATAAGATGTTTCTATTAATGACATTATTTAGAAATTATTCTTGCAATTGACTAAAACATTAATTAAAATTAATTTCTCCCTATAATGAGATTTAAATTCAGAATAAACCATAAAATTATCTTCAAAATATTAATTCCTAGGACAATAAATAATAAAAACAAATTTATGAATAGATTTCCAACTTGTTTCCTAAAATATACAGTATTATTCATGAATACGTTGAACAATATTTACAAAAAGATATATTGTAAATGAAATAAGTATATATTTTACGGGTAATCATTTTTATAAACATGAATATTATGAAGAATAATATAATGAAATATGTATAATTCACTGATACGAATACTTTTTACTTATGTTATTGATTATTATTGCAACGTGCATATTAATTATCAAATGCCTATGGCGCTAGTTTGTTCTATATTATAAATATTTTTAGACTTTTTTATCATATTTTATTGTACTAAGTGTACTACGTATCTCTCTTACATTAACTGTTTTAAAATGACAATTATATTACATTTAACAATTATTAGTAATATAAAGGATACAATATATTACATGTCATTTATTTTTTACATTTTTTTAGTATCACTGCATAAAAATATTATTATGTTCCCCTTTATGTTCTATTATAATTTGTGTTGATTATTATATAATTTTTTTATGTTGTTTTAAATATTACTGCGCAGGATGTACATGAAAAATATTGGTAGAAAAGCATATTTGTATTTTGACGATATAACATAATTAAAAAATAATTAAATTAAATGTACATGAATTATGGGATTCTGTTTAAATACAATTGTATCATATTATATTATCTTTTTTTTTTTTAAATTTATATTACTTTTCACATGGATATTTAGAGAAAATAAACATATATGAATATAACCCATATATAATATGATAATTGTATATATTATTATATATAAAAATATTTTGCTCATATTTTTAGGCATAATATAAATATAGAATAAAAATTATAAGTAAATATGAAATATAATTAAAATTATAACAAATATGAAATAGAAAAATTAATATGGTTTCCAAAAAAAATAAGAAAACATGTGTATAATATACATAAGCATTTGAATCTGATGAGGATTATAGATTAATTAGAATAAAATATGAATTATTATGAATAAAAATTTCTTAAAATTTTTTGATATAATTATCTTGTAAAAAAAATAAAAATACATATAAGTTACATTATTACTAATATTACATATGGTTCATTACGTATTATATATTATGGAGAAGTAAAAATAAAATTAAAATGCCAATAATAAATTATATATTACTAAAACAAATATAATCATTAGCTATTTTCATTTTAATATATGTTGTGTAATAAAACCAATTAAATTTTTTTATGTTCGTATAATATAAATATCAATATATGAATTTTTTATAATTCCATTTGGATGATCACATATATATCTTATAATTTAATAATAAATTCTAAATACTTAACGTCCTAACGAATAGGATAAAATTATTTCATTCTTGAAACTTATAATATTTGGGTATACTTTATTTTCACGACCAAAATCAATGGTAATGTTCTTTAAATGTTTTTTATAATCGTGTACGTTTGAATAGTCCGTCAACATTAACATATTTATTGTATCGATAAATTTTATAGTGAAGTTAATTATGTATACTATTCTATATATTAAAAATATTTCATACATTTTTTAAATATAAAAATAAACATTAATTTTATTTGAAGCTTATAATTCTCTAATTATTCAGCTGTTTTAATTAAGCTATTAATGTTATTTATAGTTCATTAGTAGTTATGATAGATATTACATAAAATAAAAAAGTTCATGTGATTAATCGTGTGTCTTATGATTTTAATAATATATTTTGTGTTTAATATATATGTGCGAAAGCATATATAATTATCTTTGTATTCTATTATGCAAATACGTACATATTAAAAGCCCTTAACATATGAAGAACAAATACATTTCAAAGTTTAAGTATATATATAATTCGTATTTTTATAATATATTTTTATATTGATTTCTATTATACTGTAGTGTAATTTATGGACATATTATTATATGCCACTTTTCATTAGAATTAATGTATTTTCCTAAATTGTTATTTATAATAAATAGAGCACATGATATATATAATCCAATACTTATTTGCATTAAAATGAATATACGAAATATATATATTTTTTATTGTATAAAAACATAATTCACGCATTAAGAAGTTAAAAAAAATAGATGGATGTGCTTTTAAGGGTATATCATTATTTATTTTACCTATATATTTGTTTCAAAATATTGTATATTAAATAATGTAGTAATAAGACTTCTTAATCATTTGAATAACATGTATCATATATTTTTTATTTTTTCTTAACATCCTTAAGAAACATCATTTAAAAACATTACCCTTCAAGGTATATTATATACAATTAGAGGAATTACAAGATTTTATTGTTCTTATATAGATAATAAGGGAACGGTAAAATTAAACTTAGACAAGATTAAAAGGTTAATAAGAACATCCAAAAAATTTTGAACGCATTTTGTAGATTACATTTTGAAACTAAAGGGACATCCAAATGTTTGAAATGGTGTAATCGCCTATATTACTGGATTGGAAATATGGTAGTTGATAAATTATATAATGACGATGAATTTTATAGTATTTTTAATAAACTCCAAAAAGGAATAACATAAATTAGTTTTTCTGATAAATAAGATGTAATTTTTCAAGAGGTATTAATAGGGATAATTTTAAAACTATCATATTAGCGTATAATTATGCATTAGATAACACTGAAATTTTAGATAGTCTTAAGAACAGTGATATTTGGTGTGATACGTATTATATAAAAAATATTCAAAATTCTGTAAATATATAAAACAAAGTACATAATGATTTCATTAATGGAGTCGAGAAAACTTATTGTTTCGAATTTATAAAATATTTTCCTTCATATAAATCTGTTGAGTTACCTAATTTAAAATGTAAATTCAATAGTGAGTTTAGAGAAATAATTCATTCAAATGTAAATTCTCTTGTCCAAGGTCAGCAAGAACAAATTCCTATAGTAAGCACAGATAAAAAAATTGGGATTAAGTCTTTTAAAATAGTTATTAATACATTATTTTCTACAGTATTTTTACTAATTATTTTCCATATATATAAGGTAATTATGAATAAAATTTAATATTTGGCTTATAATATGCTACACATGATATTTCTATTTCAATAGTGAAATCACACTAAAATAAATAGAATATTTATATGAAACATGAATACATATGAATTAATAAATAGTTTATATCAGTAGGAACATGGATAAGAAAGAACATAACAAAATATAATTCAATAATATGTATTTTAAATTATATATCTATGCAAAAATTAATGAAAATAACATTTACCTTAGAACAGTGAATTAATAGAATAAATAATTTGATTTATATTATTAGAATTCATAAAACATATACAAAATAAGAAATATTTTTTAATTTAAAGATATTAATATAAATAACTTTAACGATGTCCTTTTACAAAACTATCTGTTATTAAATAACAGAAGCATGTCGAGAACAAAATTCTGTTAATGCAGTTATCGGAATAAAAATCTAACATATAATTTGTGCTTTATAATGTAACACACAATAATATATGCTAGTAATATATACTTATTATAACAGAAATATTAATTAATATATGCATAATATCATAACCATACAAACAGTCGATGAAAGCATAAATTTAATTTTTAATATTTTTTATCTTACTACAGAAAGAAATATTATGGATTATGAAGAATTATAAATAGAAAAACATAAACAGTTTATTTTATACAATTATTATAGGTATAATAAGTATAGATTTTATATATAGTGTAAATATATATATGTGTTATAATAATAAATACTTTAATGTGATATAATAAATATAGGATGCATTTTGCTATCTATAATAGTCACAAATATAGTTTTAATTGAAGTTATTATTAATCTGTACACATTTAATTCGAACAATTATTTATGAAATATATGAAATGTACTTCTATAAATTACCTGTCAATATATAGTGTGCCAATGAATAACTGTGTATTACAATATTTTATATATTTTTAAAGTATTACATTCTAAAAAAACAATGATTTTATTATTGAAAACATATAAGTAATATAATTTTGATCATTTCAATAAATTAATAATATAGAAATGTATTTTATGTATATATTGAATAAGAAGCAATTATATAAAAAACTAAATATGTAAGCAAAGACATAAAGAAGTTAATTAAAAAATTAAGTAATCTAAGTCACATTTCTGATAAAAAAAAGTATTAAATATCTTCTCTAAAAAATTATTTATTATCCATAATGTTGCAGAAAATTATTCTCTACGTAAATGAATTTACTTATAAATTTTCTTTTTCTTAAATATAATTTTTAAAGGATCAAAAATATAATATTGCAATTTAAATAATATATATATATATATATTTAAATATGTATTATAATTTTCCTGCTTTAGTGACGTTAATACCTAAGTCGTATATTTTTGAGATAATAATATGATGAATTTTCAATATTTTTGAATAAATATATTATATTTTAATTATAGATTTAAGCATTTTCATAAATACATATGGGAAAATACAAAAAATATTAAAAATATATAATAATATCTAGAAGAATATGTATTTTGTACATTTGACAATGATTAAAAAAATATGAATATAAAAAAAAGATGAGGAATGTATTGAAAAACATAAAAATAATTTTTAGAAGTATATTTCATGTGTAATACTAATTTATTATATAATTTAAAAAAATAACATATATAAAATATAAACAATATTATGTTTTGTTTCATTACAGAAATATAAAAGTTAAGATAAAACAAACATTTATCTTATAAATTCATTA